ATTATAGTATAGTTTATAGTATATTATAGGGTCCTTTGATTATTAGCGTTAACTTTACATTAACTTTTATTAACGTTAACTTTTTGACTGCTGTTGCCGTATCTAACTGCGCCAAAATTCGAACTTTTTTATCTGCATATTATATGTAGATATGCTTATTAATACGATAGTAAGAATGTAACAAAAATTCTACGATAGTTGAAAAAAAATCGATAGTAATAGTAATGGAATATGTAATAACAACCACATAAGAGATAATGTAAATAATGCTCATAATATATTAAATCTAAGTCAGAATAATGTGCTAAAGTACCAAAACAATATGAACGATTCATAATAAATACATTATATGTATAATATGATTACTAGAATGACCATAAATATGTCGCATCAAAATACTCTATCTTAACCGTTATACGGTTCTCAATGTATGAACTCGATCAGTGTTACTCAGCATAGCTCTATGTTATACATTGTTTGAAAAAACGTAAAAAATTATCTATACGGTGTTTCATCGTTTTTTCAAATGTTGTACGGTACTGGTTTCTAGTGTTGAATTGAAAAATAAATGCCAAAAGCGTATTATTTTTCACGTGCCGGCCGATCACTGAGATCCGGTAATACCGGTTAACGGTGATTTTTTGAAAAGTATATTGAATGTATAGATACACAGTATTATTTACTATAAGGTAATAATATTGACATAAATTTCCAACAATATTCAATAGCAGTTATTTAATGTAATAGCAACATGTACTGAAAAATATCCAATCTAAATAGTTCAAATAGACTCAATCACAAATGTCAAATAGCAATAACAAAATTATTATATAATATAACAATAACAAAAATTGAAAGTGTTAACAAATAGGTTTTTGTTCATTTTATTGTTTTCTAGTTACTTTAATTTCACCCCTTCACTTACACTCCTTATAATACTTGTATGTTATACATTTTTTAAGCTGATGATGGAGCTGTTCCCCAAAACGTTTCCATTGAAGGTATATGGTGCATTTGCTTTGCTTTGAAATTCTTGATAAATCACATCTGTATTCAATTATAAACAGCAGCATGCCACCACCCCATGGAACATTAACATAAATTCACAATAAAATGAATTTCACTTTAAAACAACATGTATCCATAGAAGTATTATATAGTAATATTATACAATAAGATCAATTCACCAATAAATCAAAATTCAAAAGCAAACCCTCAATAATAATTACAAATCACAAATAACCCACGTAAAATTTGTTGAACGTTTGATCAATGTAAAAAATTTGGTCTGCCGTTCTATATCTGTCCCGTCGGTAGATAGAATAGACACCATTTGCACCGAAGTTGATAATTTTTCCGAACATGTTAATCATCATTTACTAACATTTCACAAAACTGTATGATCATCATTGAACTACAAACGCGAAGTGTTAAGCGTGTCGAGCTGGAGATCGCCTGTCTGGAACTCGCCTCGATTGCCGCACTCACTTAGCGCGATGTGTCTGTGGGCGAGCGTGTCTGTGGGGCGAGCGTGTCTGTGGGGTGTGTGTATGATGGGGCGAGTGTGCTTGTGGGGGCGAGCATGTCTGTGGGGCGTGTGTATGTTGGGGCGAGTGTGTCTGTGGGGGCGAGCATGTCTGTGGGGTGTGTGTATGATGGGGCGAGTGTGCTTGTGGGGCGAGCGTGCCTGTGGGGCGATGTGCTTGTGAGGCGAGTGTGCTTGTGGGGCGAGCGTGCCTGTGGGGCGAGTGTGACTGTGGGGCGAGAGTGCCTGTGGGGCGAGTGTGCCTGTGGGGCGAGTGTGCCTGTGGGGCGAGTGTGCCTGTGGGGCGAGTGTGCCTGTGGGGCGAGTGTGTCTGTGGGGCGAGTGTGCCTGTGGGGTGAGCGTGCCTGTGGGGTGAGTGTGCCTGTGGGCGAGCGTCCCTGTGGGGCGAGTGTGTGCAAGCGTGCCTGTGGGGCGAGTGTGCCTGTGGGGCGAGTGTGCCTGTGGGGCAAGCGTGCCTGTGGGGCGAGTGTCTGGGGTGAGTGTGCCTGTGGGGCAAGCGTGCCTGTAGGGCGAGTGTGTCTGTGGGGTGAGTGTGTCTGGCGCAGCTGCGTGTTGCGGCATAAAAAAAGACGAACGGGACAAAGCTTTTCCATCTCTTCTGTCATGTGAACTTCTTTTCATCGCATTAAGTTGTTTAATATGAACAAATTATAAAAAAAAACAGTCAAATATAGATTCATAACTTTCCTGTACACATGTATGTACGAAAATTTAGAAAACCTCCATTACGAAATGGTGTAATTTGTGCATAATGTACTTCATACCAGAATCTTGTGAGGTAGCCGGGCAGTATCACTATTGTAATTATACAATTGATTTTATAATGAATATTCCCCCAAGCCCTTTTCAGCATGTGATGATCTTGAAGATTTTCAAAATGTTTGGAGGAAATTTATTGCGAAGCGATCAATAACTTTTCAATAAAAAGCTTGTTATTATTAACTTGAACGGAATAGAAAACATTCACCATTCGTCAATCCCTCTGTTATTTATGTAAGTAACATTGCGTGAGTGATTTAAATAACATAGTTTGATTTAGCGTTGATTTATTTCCTTCACGTCTGTTTGCGCATTGTCATTTTACGCATCAATGATCAGTTATTATGAGATTTTCAACAAGATATATATGACTTGATCGCCAAATCATGGAATTCAGCTGAATGACATCAAACAGGTTTTCGATTAATCGTTTACTTGTCTTTCATCTTATTAAATGTTGCATTAAAAGGTTTGGAAGTTTAAGTCAGGTTCACGGTGAAAGCAAATATGTAGCACACACACGGAAAGAAATGTGTGAAAATTTATCGAAATAGGGATGCACTTTTTGCATTTTTAATCATCCATAACTCTGCAAAAGGACCTATTAGTGCTGCGTGCGAAAAGTGTGTTATTTTTTAGACAATGTGACCCAGTCATTTATCCGAGTGCTGCTGAAGAAAGTTATGTTGTTAATCCATACCGTGTGTATATTCAACTAATATATTCATCTATTGATATGCTAGAGATTTAAGAGCACAATGCCATGCTGTAAGTAAATGGGATGCATACACTCAGAGAAATTTATGGGTCATATTGGACAAATAGTGACACGCTTACTGCAAGTAGCTCTGATACGCCCTTATTCTGGACAAAACTGTGTCAGGATGACCCACAGTCATCCTGACCCAATATGTCGTCAAGTTGCCGTCTCGTTAACAATATGTCGTTACTGTTGATACAAAAACGTGCATCGCTATTTGGACACAACCTCACATATTCCCTGAGTGTCCAGGCGCCAGCAGCAGGCAGCTTTAGAGGTGCTATCCCTTTAAGATTCAAGCCAGGCGCGTTGTCTGGTCTCCAGCTGCACCGAAATATATTATATAAATACCTTCGTCTGCCTCGAAATATATAATATTTCGAGCACTTGGAAGCATTAAATATTGAAATTTTGTTTTAAGAAAGTACATAATATACTAAATAGGATACAACAGTAAAATTTTGAACCAGAAAAATCACTCAAAACTATCTCTAAGTTCAGACAGATTCGGTAGTTATTGGATAGATAGCTGGAGTCCTATGCGTAAAGATGAGGGGTTCAGCTATCGTCGGCCGGTTGATGTCAGGCCACTGCTTGATGACGATGCTGGTGGGTTTTTCCAGCACAATGCGAGTGATGGTCTGGTTGTGAGCTTGTCTCGTGTGGTTCACTTACCCTCCAGTTCTAAGGTAGCTAATGAGACAGCAGCTCGGTGTCCTGGTTGTTAGTCCAATTTGTCCTATGTTGTCCAAATCATGAAGAAGTCTACAACCTTCTCTGAAGAAAAATTTATAGACTGCACCAGCCTCTTGGATACTAGATCCTGCGTTTTTGCAGGGGCCGTTGTTGCGTTTTGTTCGGAGTTTGACGTTGTTGTCATGGGTGTCACGAACAAGTATGTTGAATTCATCGATGATCTCGAGATGAAATCGCTTGTTCGTAATACTTTGAGACATTGTCTGATTGTGAGCTTGTCTCCAGTGGCGGGAGAAACGGCAGTTCAATGTCGTAGTTGTTACTGCATTTACTCAAATGTAATCCAATAATGAAGAAGTCTACAATCGACGCTCACATGGCTCCAGATACTACTCTGGAATAATAATTAAAAAATTAAGAGATTAGAATGTCGGGCTTAGAATGAATCAGACTCCGAAAGTCGGGCTGTCTCATGTTAGCGAGCAAGCCGCAATGTTGTGACTCCTGATACAATAAACGTTGCGGAGATCTATAGGCAAAGTTGTGACTCCTGATACAACAAACGTTGCGGAGATCTATAGGCAAAGTTGTGACTCCTGATACAACAAACGTTGCGGAGTCTATAGGCAATGTTGTGACTCCTGATACAACAAACGTTGCGGAGTTATAGGCAATGTTGTGACTCCTGATACAACAAACGTTGCGGAGTTATAGGCAATGTTGTGACTTTTAATACAACAAACGTTGCGGAGATCTATAGGCAATGTTGTGGCTTTTGATGAGCGACATTTCTTAAAAATTGTTCTCATTCTGGGATAGGCATAAAGCGTATTGAAAAAGTTTGAGTTTATGAAGCGACCAAAATTACTTTATTAAATATACCTTTATTAGTGTAAATTGAATGTTAATTAATGTTAATGATATATCATATCCAATAATATTCTCTTTACATTCTATCTTTATGTTTGTCATCACGGATTATGACGTACAATCATGGTCGTACGTAAACTCCACTCCATTGCGGCAGATTAAATTCCTTTATGCGCCATAGGTTATATTTACTTAAAGGATTTTTTTTAAGAAAAATGCTTCCACGAATTCAATTCAGTTACTGAAACTGTTTTGCAAAATTTCGATGGAGTCAGAGGTCAGTAAAATCTTTCGTTAGTCAACTCGATCTTAATTTCAGGTAATACTTTACTTCAACTTTCAATTTTACTAACAAAATAATTTGTTTTCAGGCCGCTTTGCTTCTGCTTCCAGAGTTGACCGAACATTTAGAGGCAATTTGATTGCGTTTTATGATAATTTGCATTTTCGGCTGTGCAGGAGTTACATTTATTTGAAGTATACGAGAATAGATGGCATGCTTTAACACATGGAGCTGCAGTACGCATTTGTGAAGTGCCTCGGTACAGTTCAGATGGAATCACAGGGTTCTGTCCAGAGATATGGACGTCGCTCTAGAGCTCTAGAAACTTAATCCAGTGTTTCTTAATAGTGAAAAATTGAATCTGTGAAAATCTGTGATAAGATTTGGTATTTATAAAGAGTTAAATTGAACAATGGACCATGAACAACCTAAAAGACTCAAAGAATTGTTCAATGTAATGTTTCGTACAGTTGATCATGGTCAATCCGTAGCTGGTAAATCAATGCGTGATAAATCGATATAATTGAAGTAATGTGTATAGATATTTCCTGAACAATTTTTTATCTCTGCAAAGAGATTTGGAAAACTTATTGACATCCAAGTCCCATAGGACAGAGTGTGGGCCGTTTGTGGTTCGATGCCAGGAGAATTCAACAGATATGAAATCAAGTGAAGTGAATGTGATTATTAAATCCAATAATTTTCAGGTGCTAGATTGGAGGATGGTGTTTGATCACTAATTTACGCTCGCTACAAAATTTTTTCGCTAAAGACAAGCTTCCTGGCAAGGCGATTGTACAGTGCGGTTCAGTTGGTATTGCGGTATGGAAACTCCGGATTGAATTAAACAAGATTGAGATATAATCCTCGGAAGTGCGCTAATGTTTCTTGAAGATGAGAAGAGCTGAGCTATAATTTCGCATGCCGTGTTGTTACGGTATGGGGTGTGGTCCCAGCATCCACGTCTCACAGGCGGGGATCGTTTATTGTAACAGGAAGCCCAGCGATGAACAGGACTCAACCCCCAGGTCCTCCGTGTCGGCTAATCACGTGCCCAGGACTGGAAGCCTTACTCCTACTGCAGCAGGTCAGAAAAATATAAGTTAGTTGCATGCACAAGTTATTAGTCAAATCATACCAATTATTAAAGAATGTCAGTTATTATAATATACCAGTTATTGTAATATCCAGTTATTATAATATACCAGTTATTAGTCAAGTTATACCTGTTATTAAAATGTACCAGTTATACCAGTAATTTAAAAGTAAAAAATCAGTTATACCAGCAGTTATACCAGTTATTAGCCTAAGTACCAGTTATTAAAAAATACACGTTATTAACAAAGTCATACCAGTTATTAACAAATAACCAATGATTAAATAATTAGATATAAACGTCAAAATTACTTTGTATGACATGATATAAATTTAATTCGAAAATTGTGTTATATTATGGAGTTGGACAATAGTTCATAGAGATTGATATCATTTCTTTGATATTCGAGTGATTTATTTTTCTTCGTATCTCATACCTACAATCATCGGCAGTGAAGAACGTTATATGTTTAGTTTTTCTTTAATTACAAATTGTTACTAAGTTCTTTATGTTTCAATTGTTATTGACACTATTTCACACATACTTTGAAAATTTTTAGACATAATCACATTAATTGTTGCTAATGAATGCATTTGCTACTAAATATTGCTAACCCGATTTTATGGCAATATATTTTCTATGTGGGGATATCTACTTATTAAATGACAGAATTTATTAATAGCATTGAAAATTAAATGTACTAATGGGCAATTTGTACAAAGCCTTACCTTGTATAATATTTATTCATCTATGAAGTACTTCTCTTGTTCTTTTCATTTTATTAATAAGGCCATCTGTGTCTTAATGAGCTTCATTTATCTATCCATATTCAATCGCAATCGAGAGTAATAAAATCTCACGCTACCCCTCATGTTTTTCGAAGGTCGCGACGAATACAACAGATTAAAGTTTATGCGTTTATGGTAAGCACACAATATCTGCTAATATAGTTTGTATATCAATAAGAATATATAAAAATAATGTGTATTTACTGTGTGGACGCGCTGACAATATGTCTTCATTGTTGATACAAAAGCTGACGAGAATATCAGTCCGTCGTACAAAACAATTCACTAAATAATTCGTTCTTACTTGATTACTTTTTTACACTAAGTTCAATGCAATTAATATCCATATCCTATCATCAATGGTACATTGAGTCGGCGGGAGTCGGCGTTTGCGTGATGCAATATTTGTTTAACATTCATTTCTACGACAGTCATTCAAGTTTGATCGCCGATTTCGCAGTGAATGATGAAGTAATCAATATCGTTATTTACCCTGTTCTCTAGTTCAATTAAGTGTGTTAAGAAGTTGGGTACCAACTTCGATCGAGCTTCGTAGAACTTGACGATGGCAATTTCTCACAGTAAACTTGGAGATGATGAAGTTCAATATACTGCGTTTTAAATGTACAGTGATTCTAGACCGGATTAGCTGTCCTAAACTGAGATCACTCGTGCATTCGAGCGAAAAATCGAGTTATTAAACTGTATTGTTTTTACGTCCTCAATGATGCGAGTTTTGTGAGTTTCCAAACTTGCCTCTCAATTTTCTTATTGCATATCATTCATTTCAATACTAAAGCTGTTGATTTACAAATGACGCTCTATCCAATTATATTTATAGTTAAATATCTTCAATCAAGCGTTGCGTGAGAAGCTATGTATAGCATTAGTTTGTATTTCTCGTCCATCAAATAAGCGGTTAAATAACCGAGGTCATTTGCACGCTACGAAGTTATATGCAGTAGTTCGCGCTGGTGAAATTAGTGTTGTGCTGATGGTGGTAAAGTGAGGTCACGTCCGCTCCTGATGAGACAATGTGCAGTGAAAGTGTGACGCTTCAAATGAGACGGAAATTTTGTTTTGAAATTATCTTATTGAAGTTTAATTTCACTCATTTTGACCTGCACGTCAACTATACTAGGAGCATATTTCCCTTCAATTTCATTCGTTGTTTCCCTTGGTTAAGCAGTGCGCTGAAACAATACATTTTCTTTGATCGTCGAACTGTGACTTAAGTCTTATATGAACGCATTAATTGCTGGTTACTAGTAAATATTGAGTAAAAGAGAGAATTTTTATTTTAAAAATATAATATTTTTTCCGGTTACAAACATCACGACTAGCAAACTGGTTACAACATTTAGAAGTGAACAGAAGACCGTCATGTATTTTCATGGCAGTGAATGAGCTTTTTATTACACTGTATACGTACGTGTAGATCGTTCCATTTTCGCACTTTCCTTTAAATATTTGACATGCCCATCACGTCCAGCTCGTCTCTACGTCCTATGCTGACGTGCTAAACACGCAGCCATGTGATACAAGTTATCCCGTAATATTTTCTTAATAACTCGTATTATGTAATGATTTTCTGTAAATATTAACCAAACTACCGTTTAGTTGTTATCAAACTATCCCTGTTGAATGTAGACGTTATCGCGCTACTCTTTTTTTCTGCCCGCAATAAAGTCAACGCTGATAGCTTTTATCCCTTGTCTTTAGTACACTTCCATTTACTCACTTAGAATGTTTTTATAGTGCGCAGAGTATTGAGAATTTTTTGTATGTAGTGCACTAAATTAAGTGATTTACATTATTTACTGCGCAGGAAAAAACAAGAAAGTAATTATTTCTCAGGAAATAAAATTTATTTGTTTGTTGTGCTGTGGTAATGAAAGTCTGTATTGCTGTTGTGATGGAGTTGTGATTTTTATTTAACTTGACAAATATTTGTTCATACCGCGAGAGAAATTCATGTGGGAGAATTCTGGCTCTACAAAAAAAAAAGTCCTCGCGCATAAAAAATGTTTTTTCTTGCAACATCGTGCCATCACTAAAAGAAAAATTTTGATTCATTATATTATATGTGGGTTAAAGATTAGTGGCATTTTACTTCCCGATACAAATTTATGCAGGTTTGAATAATAAAATCAAAAAATGATAATAAATATAAATAACAATAAAATGAATATTTTAATTAACATGTATGTTTTTGAACAAAGCTCAAAGCTTCATGTGAGGTATGGCAAAAGTTTCCCACATTTAAATTCTGATTTCCATTCTCGATGCATAATAGCTGTCAATTCACGTTATAAAACTTGCCATAAATCAATTTCAACCATCCCATCATTCAAACCCTAGATGCCAATACTGTGCCGGTAGGCATGCTTCATTGCCGTCGCTGTGATTAACTAGAATATTTTTTCAATTTCTGGTCAAATGTTGTTCCTCTAATTCATAAAATTAAATCATTTATTATCCTTCAGACGAATTTATAATTGTATTCACTTATTCACATATTGTAGCATTCGTAAGTCAAATTGCTGAGTTCCATATTTTCTATTGTATTGGCATTGGGACGCTATAGCTCTAATCGAAGTAAATTTTCTGCCTATATTCTCCACATACTTGCTGTTGATTTTTTTAGACAATTCTATTCTCTTTCCATGAACAATTCTAGATATAGTAACCGCGTGGGCTACATGCATAACTGCTGAAGAACTCATTTGAAGCACGAAACTTACGTGATTCGTGCACAATGAACTCGTGTAAAAATTTCACTACTTCTTAGCCTGATTTAATCAAATTTGAAATTTAAAGATAACATGGACTGGTTAAGAATTGGCTTTCTCTTGTTAGCCAGCTGATGGAAAAAAACAGAAGTGACTCGTAAATTCTTTGTTCTTGTATCACTGTTCGAGAAGAACGCAGGAACATTTGAAATATCGATATTTTCAGGTGGTTAATCAAACATGTTATGGTAAACTAATTTTATTGATTATTTCACGGACACATTTAACTCTTCATTTTACCTTTATATTGTATTTGCTCGAATGCCACCCACGGCGAACAGAACAATTTAGTATTGTATTCATCTAGGTTATCGAATAGACTCAATATCGTCGAACTGTCAATGTAATGTATGTAAGTTCCAAGCATATCTTCATCTCTTGTCAGACCACGGTTTGAATCCCCCGGGAAAATTCATGTGAATCTGTATTATTCCGATCATTAATTTTCTATTTTGGTATCAGTGCGATTGATCTTGCACCTTCTATAGCCAGTCCATGCCTGCAGCCGGTGGCTGGCTTGGATTCCTTTGAAATATTCATTCCTTTGGAGGGGCGCAGTTAAAGGGCTAAGGCAACAACATTTCCATCCGCTGCAATATGGTGTGCGAGATCGTAAATGCCCGAACAAAAGTTTGCAGCTTGGGTTTCGTGTGTGCTACAAACTTGTATTCGGAAGTTTTATTTTTAACCCCTTTTGGTGCTCGTATTATTCATGACTAAAATTTGTGGTCGTATCCCGCCAGCGTATGCATCAATAGAAATTTTGCGATTTGTTGTTGTTAACTTCTGGGTTATTGATTTTAACTTGTGTTTGATTAACTGGAGTTGATTCGGACTTGCGATCAAACAACTCGGCGAGCTTCTAGAAACTTGATAAGTGTACAGTTAACTAAATATGCTTCCCGGCAGTTAACTAAATATGCTTCCCGCCCTGAGCTCACAAAAGTTTTCATTAAAAACCGTCAATATATTGACGATACAACCATGCACGTTGGATTATCTAAATAATGGTATATCATGATTCTGACATTCAATATGATCTATTATCAACTCTTTGCTATTGTTTTCACGCGTTGAAGCTTTTCCCGGCGATGAAACCATGTCAGTCATAATTTTTTTTCCATCGAGCCAATATTAAAAATTTATTCCCATTAAAAATTTGTTGAATGTTCACTCGCTAAAGTAAATGTATCTTTCAGCAAAGAAACATCCCAATTCTGGAGGGTTTTCATAAGAACTACAAGTCATAACCGGACTTCTTACATTCCATGCACTTCTAAGATGCATTGGAAAACTGCATCAGGCTATTCTTGCGTGAAATATCTCGTATTTTTATATTGGGATTATTTTCATTTAACCTTGCTATAGGATATATTTTTCGCGCATGATTCTAAAGTTACGGCGGCTGGTC